CGGGAGCACAACATCCTGTTTATATAAAATAAGAATCGGAAGCCGAAGTGTATTCATCTTTTAATATGAAAAAAAACCAATCGCCTTTCAACAAGGCAGCATGGGTTCGTTTCCCCCAGGGGAAACAAGTTTTGTAGAGCTTGTTTCACAATTGTTGTAAAATTAATATGTTTGAATTTCAAATAGTTTTACTTGTGTTTCTGAAATCCAATTTTGAACATACATATTAATACAGTTCAATCGCGAAAAGAGTCTTTGGTAGGATTGTCCAAAATGGTTTCTAGTATTTTAGTCAATTTTTCGTCATAAGTAATCTTAGTATAGTTTAAAGCTTTCATTATGTCCTGTTGTTGAAATATTGCCTCCGAAATAAAACAGTTTATTTTGCTTCGTCTGTGATTGTTTTTAAACCTTAAATAAAATATTCGTTTAGTAAAGGTAAAAGACAAAATTCACGATTAATATGTACATTTGTATATCAGGATTGTTTCGGAAAATTAACACCACTGAGAAATGTCAATTTTTTAGTTTTGCGAAGAATTAAGGTGTTTTGCGTCAACAGTTGTGGAGCGTGAGTCTAAAGGGCGATAACTCTGTGTAGAAATTGGATGCCTAAGAAGACGGTGACACTTACCTACTGTAGTAATTGCAATAATTGGACTATTTATCGTGGTCATCAAGTTGTTTACATCAGGTATTTTGCACACCTTACACTAAGAAGTTAAACCGTGAGGCCCTATATATGACATTAGGGCATGAATGAGTAGTTAATTTTGTTATCAAATTTAAGTAAGATTTTAACTGGGATTATCACGCGCGTGTAATGCCCTGTTTATAGTTTTAACATGAACTATTTTGATTAACACTGATTATCCCTCCATAAGGCCACGAGTGCATGTCTCACCCCAGATTGGCAGACACAACACTGCTGTTCTAGGCATTATTAGGCTACAGACCATCCACATGTTTTAAATTATAGAAGTGTGTCATGATTTTAGACATCAAAGTTTAATATTGTTAAAAAGGGACACATCATGAAGAACTGTTCAGTTTTAATTCAATTCTAACTAAACTTGTATTGCTTTTACTCACAGGATTCTGTTGTTGTTTTCCTCTGATGCCTAATTGGTATTCAGTACTCACATCGTTAAGTACACGTGTACTCTACAGGTACTCCCTGTGCTAAAACAATTTCCGAACTATGTATGGCATGCAGACGCGAATCAATTTTTGGCAGCAAGTATTGTTAGCTTGCACGTACATTTCAGTATATATTTTCATTATTGATGTTTTAAACAAAATATGGGCGAATCAATTTTTGGCAGCAAGTATTGCTAGCTTGCACGTCCATTTCAGTATATATTTTCATTATTGATGTGTGAAACAAAATATGGGCGAATCAATTTTTGGCAGCAAGTATTGCTAGCTTACACGTACATTTCAGTATATATTTTCATTATTGATGTTTGAAACAAAATCTCCCGTAACTGCAATAAGATATTTACATGATTGTTACGTATTTAAATTATAAAATCCTGAGTTGAATGTGAAATTGTTAGTTTTGAAGCGACATTTTACAGAAAAATATCGATAAAATGTTTACGTTAAATCCCGTGTGAAGCTAACAAAATCTTCAAAAACTCTACTAAATAATTTTAAGACTCCAACAAACCCAGCAGACTTATTTTGCTTGTTAACAAAAGCTTTTGCATGCTTCTTAATCCGTTTAACAAATTTCTGTTACAATAATTTGGATGTTATGTAGTTTTCATAGAGATCTGAAACAATCAACTCAAGTTGTTGGATTTCAGACCGTCGCCTTTATTTGACATAATAGAATACTTATGATTTTGAAGTGTTGTTTCTCTGCATCTTTTCCGTTTTTCCTGATTTCATGATCGCACAATTAGGCAGTTATACTCCATCGTGAAACAATAAATTACTTTCGATTTAATTGTTTTAATATGCACTTTTGAATTCTGTAAGAAAACCTATATTTTTTATTTAAACGGATTCTACAACTTTCCTGTTATTGCTGCCTTGTGTTTGATTGATCAGGTTTCTGTTGTTTTGATTGTTTTGTGAGTAATGTGTTCAAATTAATGTTCACTGAAGTTAGAATAGCAACAATTTCGTCTTAATGATCCAAACTCATTTTGATTTTTGTACTTAAAGATGAAGTCGCTATGCGTCTTTGTACTTTAAGAGTTTGTAATATTCAAATGAAAATGCAGTTTCTTTTTATTCCTTATGTGATTAACACAATAAAAAGTTGTGGCATCACCTGAATACAGTTTCATCTGACAGAGTTGTTCCCCTTGTTATTGAACTTTCTCCGTGCATTTCCGTCTTTCAAACGAATCGGCTTTATGGACCGTTCCGGCAAGTACGGAAATTCCCGAGGATATCCGATTGCCTCCGAACGTCAACATGATCGCACATTCCGGGCTTTTTGAGTTTGTCGGAGAGGTCCGATTACGTCCAATTCATGAACCAATGACGACGTTGTCCGTGGATAATGGGGCCCCGTACGGGGATATTTTTTAAAGTTATTTATTACTGAAAATAAAACGGACCGGGTAAAATGACGCCTATTTAGTCACAGTAGACGTTTATGCAAATTCATACTTTATTTCAATAACAAACATTAATATTTGATCAGATAAGGACAACCCATTTTTTTAGTTTACAAAAGTTTATTAAAATGTAATAAAAAAAATATTTCACTCTGTGCTGAGAAGTTTGTCACATGTTTCTGACAAACGGAGTCTAATACTGCGTTTACCCCTATACATTTAACAACTCTAGGTATAACACAGACACTCAGATCTAAACAAAAAATTCTATTTTTATGAAATTGCGAAAAACATTCTATTAACTTCTCATTCTGGTCCGGATAGTCGCGCGTAGGGGGTCTTAATAGGGGAGGGAATCGGAGTACCTGGAGAAAACCTTCTTGATCCGGCAGGTGATATGACCTCATACATTTTCGTAAACGATCGGGAAATCGAACCCCGACCGTCTGCGTGGAAGGCAAGCGCGCTATCCAATGCGCCACTCGACCAGTAGATCTTGTGTTTTAACTCAAATCTTAGTTCAAGTAAAAAATAACAATACGTAATATTAGTTGAAACCAATTTTATTTTTCGCTGTTTTTGCCGATTCTAAATTTCTTAATTTACGGTTGATGTTTGCTCTTTTTGATACGTCGCAAGATCGAATGTGAGCTACAAGACAATTGCTTTAAGCGCGGCTCTTGAGTTTCAGAACGAAAAAGACCTTATGGCAATCGTACGGGAGACCAGGATTGATGACCGTCTAACGCCCTAAACTTTATGACCGTGTCTTCATATAATACTTATACGTATTGCAAGATATACGTCATATTTGTTCTGATAGGGTTCAACAAATATATCCATGTACTTTATTCCACTTAGCTCTAATCTACCGGAGGACCATTGGCGCAATATTTTGTTTAATGTTTCGTATATTATGGCCATTTCGCAATTTCACGATACCCTTGGTATTTCAACAGAGATAAATGAGGGAAAACGTACTTGTCTTACGCTAAAACATGTCTTTATTAGTCAAATAACATATTGAATACATCATAACATATGCGTCTGTTCATTTAATCGTTTCGTTTCTTTCTATATTTTGTATTTTTAATATACCCTTGGTATTTGAACGTAGCGATTGACGTCATTTTGGTACTCTTGTCTACGAAATGCGATTCTGTTTTCTTGTTGAAGCGCAACAACTATCATCAAATCACTATCCATCATCGTTTTACTGTGTACGTCTTATAATTTGAAAACCGGAGTTCCTTTGAACGTAATCTGTTTATTGTCTGGGAGTTATACTTAAGATATAACAAGTTTGAACATAAATCATTTGTTTATTGTAGCCGTGTATAACAGCGTCACTGTCCCTATCCTTAAACCATGAAATACGAATCTATTATGTTTCCTCTGACAATTGGAGATTACTACATGTAAGCAAGATAAAAGGAGGTCGCTTTACTTGCATTCATATTCAAATCGACGATTGCTTAAATAACATCTTTATCACATTTTTCAGCGAAATTGCGGTTTTCGGATTATTGAAAAATCTGGAATAGAGAGGTTCCGAAGTGTAATGTTCTGACGTTGACACAATTAAAATTTGCTTCTTATATTGAAATAAGAAAACAGGCTTATCAAACTGTACGGTGTAGGTAATAAAATATACATGTATTGCATATCAATTTAACATGTAACTTCAGCAGTCCGGATCCCTTATTAGTCAGGACAACTTGTTTTTTAATCCGGACTAGATGTAACTAGCTATGTCCGGATAAACGACGTTTTTAGAAAATGATACGTATTATGATTGTTTTAATCCAGTTTAAAGGAAATAAGCTGTGTCCAGATAAACTGATTTTAGAAAATGAAACATAATATTACTTTTTTAATCCGGATTAGAGGATTTAAGCTATGCCAGAACTAAGTTGTAGACAATAAAAAAACATGTATGGCATATCAATCTAGCATCAAATCGTACAAATATTTGTTTTAATCCGGACTAGTCGAAATAAGCAGTGTCCTGATTAACTGTTTTCAGAAAATAGAACAGATTATTATTAATTTTTATTCCGGATTAAAGGGAATAAGCAGTTTCCGGATTAACCAAGTTTTTAGAAAATTGTACAGATATTTTTTTATATCCGGAATACATGTGGAAGAAATAAGCTGTGTCCGGATGAATGAGTTTTTTAAGAAACTGATAAAGATTATCATTATATAATCCGGGTTAAATGAAATTAGAAGTGTCCGGATTAACATTTATAATGGTATAGATTATTACAAATTCTTAAAATTTGGTAAAGAGGAAATTACCTGTGTCTGGATTAACGAGATTTTTTTTTAAAATATTTATATATATCCTTTAGTCTATATATTTTAGTATCCCATCATTACCATTAATTAGACAAACTTATTTATGTACACGTTTTGTTGCAGGAATTTCGGGTATGACGTCATAACTTGTGGTTTGAATTCACACCATATATTTACACTAAGCAGTGGCCAGAATTATAGTGCTAAACTAACAACCATAACGGAAGTGGATTGGTGTTATCTCACACTATTTGGTTAATCAAAAATCTTCACGATAATGAATAATATTTTTTTTATAAAAAGTATTGTAACGTTATAACAATTTTGTAAATCTTCACTGATAATTAATGAATATGGTTTTTTTTCAAATTCGCCATAGAAGAAAAAAAGTTTCTTAAAGATCAAGTTTACGTTCATGTTTGTCTAAAAAAGTACGTGAAGCGTCATTTATTTTTTTGTTTATTTTTTTTGTTCAGTTTGTAATCAATAATCGTACAGGTACATAGATATGAACACAACAGCAAGCTTTTTGTTTCTAAGACATATACAATAAAATATACTGAAATGAAAAAAGCAGGGTTATTGTAATGTTAATCGTTTCAAATTAAACAGCTATATGCATACTATTCGATTTTATAAACCTGAGTATTTTTTTTTATATATATATTTAACCTTAACATGTTTAGATATAAAGCTAGACTTCCATATTATTATAGTTATGTTATAATGCCGCCAAATGAAAACGAACAAATGTCTGGCTCGTTTATATTCAAATTTCATTTTTTTTATTTACGGAAAAAGGAAAAAATACATGAATAAACAAACAAATATAAAGAAAAAAACAAAAAAGAAAGAGAGCTGGCCGAGAGTATTTCCAGCTATACGTTAAGTGTGAGACAACAACTTCTTCCCTTCCTGCACATACCATTATATAGACTAACATCCTACCTCTGTATCGTTCTGTCGCCATTATACTGTTGTTTTACTTGGCCCTACCACGTGTTTCTCTAGCCATATTTAAAGCTTACTGTAAATCACTAAGTTTTCGCGAGTACTTATTTCCCTAATGTGATTCACGAGCGAAAAAATAAATCCGATTTTTTTTTAGCAGAATACGGATTGACGATATTCAAATATCAAATAAAAAAGCAATTCTGATGCTTTTTACATATTTGGAAATTAACGGGAGTAAAATTATCTTTGTCAATTTATATCTTTTCTTTATCATGTATCTTCACGAAGGTTTGGAATTTGAAAAAAATAAAATCTGGTGGAATTACCAATCTAGCTGAATGTCAGTAAATCGCATGATCGTCCGATCCCTTTTACTTTTATCATTGTATTTGTGCTTGAAAAGTCCATTCAAGAGGATTTTATTTCAAATCATTTTTACTGCAAAAAATAATTATTACCAATAACATCCACGGTTTTTTGGGAAAACGCCAAAATAAAATGCTCGTCAAGCCTTATTGATTTACAGTAACAATATTTACAACCTATAAAATGTCTTTTAAATCCATTTTGAACAGATGCTGTTTTGGGCACCGTACAGACGAATGTATTCATTGTTTTGTCAATTGAAACATAACATAAAACTAATCTGAATGTAGCACTATTCAAAACATTAGACTTTATTGGTTAAATTATTTTCGAGCAAAGGGTTTAGCTTATTTTTTTATTTATTAAATAAGCCATTACGAAATCAAATATGTCTTCGCTCCTTTCTTCATAATACTCAGAAAAATCTTGTCGGCCTTTCCGACAACCACACACTCGCCACTCATACACTTGCGTTTCAGTGCCAAAAATGTCTCAAGAGTTACTCCCTCTTTGTTGTGAAACTGCTCACCAGATGTCGCCATTTTCTACTTTAACAAAAATCTTGGCTTCGTGTGGCATTACCTGTCTATGTGACTAGTAAACGATCTCACGTTTTGAAATTACCACAGTGAAACCTGCCGGATAGACCACTAACGACTTAAAAAATATTAATTACCACCTGTCTAATGCTATCACCTGTATACAATGACCAACCCTCCATAATGATCCATGTCTAGAAAGACCGGCTTTCTAATATTACCCTCAATATAATATATGTTTTGAAAACTTATAAATGTTATATGTTTGTATTTAAAATCAATGTCTACTAAGACTGTTTTCGTATAATGATCATCCGTTCAAAAAGATCACCTGTCTATAAAGACAATTATTTACTACATGTAAGACCAATGGTCTAACATTTCCTTCTTTGGTACACCCTTATGGTCTTTTCTATATGAGATCTGCAAAGACTACGGCCTATAACGACAACTTATCTATAATAAAACACCTGCCTACAAAGACCAATTCCTTTCTAAATTTCTCTAATGGCCATTAGTATGTACAGACTACTTGTCGATAACGCCCACTTTTCTCTAAAGACGACCGTTCTATAATAACTATCATGTTTAGAATACATAAGTGTTTTCCTTTATTTTATAGAGAAGCTTTTACTTTCTCCCTTGGGCGGTCAGCATGAACAGGTTTCACTGAATTTTGCGAAGAGAAAATAGTGTGTATATACATGTTATGATATAAATGGCGTCATCACGTGAGATAGTTCCTTGTCCAATCAAATCTGTCGTTACTGTAGATCGGTTGGTTTTATTGCTAGATATCATGCACGCGCCATATATATAGATACTCTATGCTGAAGGATTTTTCGCACAGGACATTTTGAAAACAACACGTAAACATGTTTTAAAATAATATGGTAAATTAGGTTAATTTTTGTACAAAAAGTTTTTTATCAACCATTTTGACTTATGATAATATATATTTATGAATATACTTTAACGAGTCGCAAAGATATGGTATAATGTAGTTTCGAATCCAATCATTTCATCAGCTATTTAGGGGTGTTAGATAGCTGTTATGACGTCATTACTTTCGAAAACGCACAGGCCTCTTGCAAACATAATTTTAAAAAATTCTAAATAAAGTATTTACGTAATGAATAAAGAATTGAAACATGATTGATAACTGTATGTATGGTGAGCGACAGGCCTGAACGTTGACATATTTTTTGCGTGGTTGTAATTTTGTGAAATTGTGCTTCGGTTAAAATACTATGTCCATGATACTCATGTTGAAACTTGATATTTTTTATTTATTTTGACTCACGAAAACACCGAAGAAGTAAATAAGCTTAGCAGTGTGTTTCATCCTACCTTATTTCTTCTTTAACAAACCAAGCAAGCAACAAAAACACGATAAGTTTATAAATATGTTATTTTAAGTCTTTTTTATTGGTTTGTATTTTTGGTTATACAACTTGACTATGTAAATAACGTGAAGAATCGCGTTATTGTAAAACACGAGTACAAAGAAAGAATATCTTTCAATGAATTGGCTTTTATCTGGAATATTACAATTATGACGTCATAGATGCATTGACTTTGTAAGTGTCGACAAGGGAAGCTGTTCGCACATGCCATTTTTGTGAAACGTTTCGATGTTTGATACTTTCAATAGCTGAAGAGCTTCCTCAGATTATTCACTTCTAATTAAATTGCATCAGGTTCGATTTCTTTTCCATTTTTTGAGAGCCCTGTTTTATTTAAAACGACGATTTACAAAACTGATTTTTTTTAAATATGCATATACATTTTTGTTCTTCATAGAATTGCATGTATCGAAATTAATACTGTTCATCTTAAGACGACAGACACAGATGTCTTGTAAGATTATATTTTTTCTAAATGATCTTGTCTAAAATCGCCTTAAACTATTCATATTCTTACAAATTATTGAACATCCGGGTCCTAATGGTCAGTTCTTTGTTATAGGGATCACGGGAACCGTCAGTATAGATGACAATGGGGACAGAAATGCCGACTATTCTCTACTGGACATGAACCCGAAAAACGGAAAGTTTGAGGTGAGTGGTCAAGATATTGCAATGCAAGCTTCCTATGTCCACTATACAATATCTTTTTTTGCAGTAATTCTATTATCCACAGTGGATTTTTTTTTATATGTGTTACTTACATGTAAGTATAGTTTTTTGGGGGTTTCGTTTCACTTGTTTTATAGCCTCGCTTTCGCATAAAGTCTTGCTGCCATCTCGTTTCAATCACATGTTGTAAGTTTGGGCTTAATGGCAACATGAGTTGAAAGGCTACACCGAGATAAATAGCTAATCTTACATAAGCGATGCGACAGCTCATATTTAGACTAGAACTACATATAGGAGGCGTGACGTAAGTTGAACTTTCCAGTACGGCCAATAATGTGATTCAATAGTTACACACCACAGGGACCCGAGCATTTGTTACACCTATATTTGGACCTAAGCTAAGGTGTTCAGTGTAATTTACAAAATGTACATGTTTAAGGGGTTTTGATCGACTTTCGGGAAAAAAGACACTCCCTATGGTTAGATATACGATGTCGAAAAGTCCACCCCACGTAACTTTTTTGCATCGAAAACAACATTTTTAGTTGATGTACGAAAAATGCTTAGTACCGTTGGAAAGATAAATTTTCTTTTAAAAACCTCCTACATTTTGGTATATGCACGTACAACTTATTCTCCTTCCGCTGACATCATCTCCGTTTCCTCCAAAAACACACGCCATTTCAGATTTTCAAACTTTTCCGCAGTCATCCAGCCACTTTTTGTATATTAATGAGGTTAACATTAGCCTCGTGCCGAAACATGCAGTGTTGGCTGGTGATTTTAGCGAAAAAATGGCTGCGCTTCCAGCCAATCATACCACGGGTCTCGGCACGTGGCTGACGTCAACCTCATTGATACACAAAGTGACTCGATGACCACAAATGCTTTGAAACTCTGAAATAGCGTGTTTTTGGACACAAATATAATGTTTCTGTGGGACCTTTGAATTAAGGGACCCGTTCTTCACCCAAAAACTTTGAAACTCTGAAATGGCGTGTTTTTGAACACAAATATAATGTTGTGGTTGTTTTCTTTGAAATAAGGTACCCGTACTTCTCCCCAAACTGTAGCTATCGGTTGAAACCCCCTTTTTCAGCATAGCATTAGCTTTGATATTCGTTTAAAAAAAGAGACCCACCCACTGCCGAACACGAACAGGTCATTATAATATTGCTCTTACCAACTGAGCTACCTGGTAAACGGAAGCATTCTTGCCAAGACGCGCTACAAGTGAATTGGAAATGAAATTAAGGGGAGATAACTGTATTTCAAACAACTACAATGGAAATATTTATTGTTTTGATCCCAGCGGGACAAGGATCCTTAAATAATGTTTAATCAAACATATGTGTAGTCTTACACAGTCTAACGTAGTCTTATATAGTCCACTTGTTGATTGTTTTTGCCTGACCATTATGGGATGTATCTCTGATAGACGAGACTATCCGTGCCATAACAGGTATTGTAGGACATTTTAAGCAGGTTCCTACCGCGCCAGATCACGTGCAAGTGAAGAATGTGCCCACCTCGTCTAGACTAGATATATTTGTATGCATTCCGAAATCGACAGCTCGCTAATTATTTTCTGTTTTCTCATTTGTACCCTTCAATTGTTCGATCCATATGTTTTTTCGCCCTTTTAGATGTAAGATGTAGAACTTACCTCGTGGTTGAAGATATTTGTCAAAGGGTATATATTTACTATTTATAAGGAAGTCAAACTTTCAATTCGGTATTGGTGCACGAAATAAGGCCAAAAAGAAAAATGTTGGAAACATATGAGGATGAAATCTGGTATGGGAAAATGTTCTTGATTAAACTAATTATTAACATATGTTATTTTGACAAATCCTGGACATGCGAAGTTAATTTTTTATGTTGTGGTTTCAATCAATGACGTCTTGATAAAAAGAGCGACACATAAACCAGAATAATTTCAAAATTAACAAAATCAAAACACAAAAAAATCGGTCCTTTGATATGATTGCTAAAGTATAGGAGGATAAAATAACTATTTACCCTTTCTAGCCCGGAAGTTACGTCAAATAGATACCGGTAGTATATAAATTACGAAACACAACCGAATCTGAATTTTATGTAAGAACACGGGTGCAGCATCCACGTGCCTTATGATTTCCATTCTATATGTCAGCTATCCGTTTTTCCCTATTTACTAGAAGAGGTCTTGCAATGTAGACCATGCCGTGCTAGACATTCATTACTTATGTCGTGGAATCGTTTTCCGTGAACGAGGCTATTTACAATGATTTAACACCTGTTGTTCATATATCCAGCCGTAATAGACCCGAGAAATAACGTCGCTGTTTATGTGCTTTTCACAAGTTGGTCAATTTAATAACGTTTCGCAATGAGAAGGACACGTCTAAATCAAATTGATTATAACCGTATAAAGAATGCTTTCTTTGAAGGTTTTATTTATGACTGTGTTTACAAGTGTGTCGGATCGCCTGCGTCAAAGTCAATGTGAAACGTTTCTTTTTATTTCTTTTTCATTCCTCTGTGGTGTGATATGTTGTTATTTCCATACAAACGAAATTGAACCCGTCTGTCTGTAGACAAATGTCTGTCCGCATCACACCTCCTAAACCAGTAGCATCGTGTTAAGTGGTCCGGCACCACTCCCCAAAACTGTGACAAAGCGTTTGAAACTGTTTTTGCAGCATGACTATAGCTTTAATGAATCATTTCTGAAAAAGAAACCATACCTTGTGGGACTTTGTTGAGGAATAATTAAGATAAATGTCACTAAATACAATTAACAACAGTGTTTTGAGTTTAAAACAACGCCTAGTTAGACCCGAATTCGAACCCTGAATATTAGACTGATAAACAATCGCTCTAACGGATTGAGCTACCGGTCGACGGAAGTGTCCTTGCCTTATTGTTGTCCTCCAGGTATATCCAAACGGAAGTTAAGGGGATGTTACTGTATATAGAACAACCCAGTGCAATGGGACAGGGATCCTTAGGTTTATATTATCAAGATAGTTATCACCCTTGATTTAATGAGCCTATATGTAACAAAGTCTTTACAGATCCAATTCTTCTGAATATAAACTATTGTCAATATAAAATGGTGCTGTTCACTTTTTAGTGCAATGTAGTTTCATTTTAGGTAGTCTAGTGGTAGGACGCCGGGCTCGTGACCGTGTTCGAGTCACGGCACGGTACTGTGTTGTATCTTTGAGCAAGATACTTTACTCCGCTTGTTCCAGTCTACTCAGCTGTAAATGAGTACGTGGTTTGGCAGTGCTAGAATTATTGAATGCTAGCTGTAAGCGCCGAAAAGGCAGCTCCGACTGTATGCTCCCCATGGTGTTGAGAAAGATATTGACTGGTTACAAAGGCCCTATAACCACGGATAATAATTTGAGACGACCTACGAACTAGGTTGTGATAAAGCGGTATATACGAACCTCGAATTATTATTATTATAATTATTATTATTAATAGTTTAACTAGAAATATGTATCACTCATGTATTTCTGAATGATCAAAAACGTTTTTTCAAGAAAGAATTTCTCTCATGTTTTGCCTGCTATTGGACAAGTGGTCTTTTAAGTAAAATATGACAGATTAACTCATTTGTCCTACACGCAATTCTATCCTGCGTGTTCACTGTTTTGACCAGGCAAGGTCCTGAGACTATCTGCTAAAAACTACAGTGCAATGCTTTAGTGTTTTGTCTGCATTTGGACATGAATCCTTTCAACAAAATAAGACGAAATGATATATTTGTTTACATAAACTCCCTTGGGTGATGCTTTAATGGTGGGCCAAAGCTTTTCAAAGTATGCATTATAATGAAGGCTATTTGACACCTTAATGGTAATTCTGATACTGTTGAAAAAGGCCAGACTTCTCGATAAATGCCACGATACTATAGATTTATCTTGTCTTTAGGTTCGCGTGGAAGAAATCTTACAGAGGGTTTCTTGTCGCTTTATTCCACGGATCAGTTTTCGATTCAGAATTCCCCTAAGCGTTTCTAAAATATCAAAATGCAAACGTCTCATCGATATCATATCCGGAACATTTGGGATTGAATTCCAGTCAGCGATATAGTATTTTTGTTGCAGAGCACTTTAACGCAACGTGCACTTAAAGTCATGCTTTTCGAATCATTACACCTTTAAAGATTAATTAATGTTTGAATCCAATAGTTTTAATGGGTTCTCTTCACAGATTACATGATAGGGGTTACGGCAGGTTCAAACGGACACTCTAGAAGATACATTGTGTCAACGTCTTGGCTTACAATCTTGTAAGGGCCGAAACGATGTTTTCGAGTTTTGTTTTGAAGTGCAAAGGGAAACTAAATTAGTAAAAGAATTACTGTCAACAACCCCAAAACATCAAAATAATATCCAGAATATGAAACAATGAAATCGATATCCTTCTCTTGAGAAAAGTTTGTTCTAATGAGGGAAGATAATTCGGAAACCTAAGCGATCGCATCAACACATATCTCTGTCGCATTGGGGCCTGTAGGGTGACTCCAGTGTGACGTCATCTCCATTGTTTGCACTCTAATGATTTCTATCCTCCCTCTGCACTGTTTTTTTTTATTGTCTGGCCGCCAAGAAGTAGCGGAAGCAACTAGGGTCTTGCTTTTCTGGCGACGGCGGCGGCGTCAACATTAAGTTTTTGCGTTTAAGTTAGTTTCTCTGAGCCTATAAATGCTAGACCAACCAAACTTAACATATGAATTGATGGTCAAAACGGGGCACAGGAGAAACATATCAATCCAAATGACTTTTATATATATACAATTACTTTACCTTAATTCCGTCGTAGTACAAATGGGCCAGGACCGTTCCATTGACCAGGCAGCTTAGTCGGTTAGAGCGATAGTATAACAATCAGAGGTCTATGCTGGATAACACAGGTTCCACTGTCTTTGGCAGTGGTACGGGGATCCTTAAAGGGACATATATTTGCACATATCTGTTGTCGGAATTATTTCATAACTATATAAAGTTCAAAGCAATGTGCAGGGTTTTAGTTATGCTGACCAGAGTTCTAATCCACTCCCTATAGATACCAATATTAAAAAACAAACAAACAAAATAAAACAAAAACAAAAAGCAAACACGCAGAAAGAAAACAAAAGAACTAAAATCAAGCAAACAGGAAACGAACAAAAATCAATAACACAAACACACCGAAAAAAACAACCTTGAAAAAACCAAGAGCAAAAGGCAAACCGGAAACGACACCGTTATAAGAATTGCAATAATGTTAAGTGTTAGGACACACACACTTCAGGAACCGTCAGGTCATAATAGAGAAGTGTGATGGATCCATGTGTGTGACTGAAATTTGCATTGTACGCCAAATAATGACAATCTGTCTGGAATGACGTGACCTTATACACCTAATGCAGACGTTCGGGTTTGTAAGTAGGTCATCATATGAATATTGAATCAACTCACAGTTCTTGATATACTGCCACCACAAAGAGAGACGAATAAAGGAAAAGTTAGTAAAAAATTGGAAAGGGGACATTCATTTACGTTGCAATGACATAAGTGTCATTATGTCGGATTTTTAGTATACTATAATCCGTTTTGGGGTTCCTCTCTTCGACACAGTTTTGGACATACACAAGAGATATCCAGTTCAAAACTAGAAATGTATCAGAATGTTTATATGATATGCTTTACGAGTAGACTTTATTTTATCATACCACTGACTAATTGGAGCTGTTCACACACTGGTTTTGAATTAAGCAAAACAGATTAATTCGAAAAAGCATTGCATTGAGTCAAAACAAAACAGTGTTTCGAAATGAATATTTTTCAAACATATGAAAAAAAAACCACCACTCCCGAACATCTTGTTTGAATACCAGCTACAAGTACTTCCGTTGGTATAGCACGTTTATGTCTACAAACAATGTTTTTACCAGTTTTAATCTAGAGCGACTTCCGGTGTCGGAAGGAACTTTTGTCAGACCTCTACCTCTCGTGAAATTCCTTATTCTATACGTGATATCTTAGGATCCCTGTCCCTCTGACCTGTGGTTGTTCCTATATAGAGTAACTTCCCCTTAGCTTCCGTTGCGATATATATGTAGAACGTTTTGGCCAGGACACTTCCGCCTACCAGGTAGCTTAATTAGTATGAGCCATCGTTTAGCAGTCAGAAGTCCAGGGTTCGAATCCCGGTGCAGCCCAGCTGTGTGTTTGATTATATTTTATTTCATTTTTATGATTTCTCGTCAATATCCCGCAATGCATAGGACTAGTTCTCTTTACAAAATTGATATATCCAGGCTATAGTTATACCGAAACAAAGCTAGTTTCAAATATTTATTAACAGTTTTTGGCAGTGGTACTGGGATCCTTAAAGTTAAACATTGTATGTTTTTATATGGAATGAAGAACAAAATACATCTAAGAGGTATTAAATGGAAGTCCACAATCGTTTCTATGCATGTATTTATGTATTTTTTATTGCTGTTTCCAGGTGGTGGCCAATTATTATGGAAACAATAAAGAATATAAACCGGAACCAGACAAGAAAATTTACTGGGCAGGTGGGCGGAACTCACCACCACCGGACACGCCCACTTGTGGGTTTGACGGATCAAAGTGTCCTCCCAGTGGTAAGTTACAAATAATCAAAACTTTCAATCAGTTCATGTTGGCAGAGGTAACATGCATTGAATACATCTTGATAATTTGTCTTGACAAATTAAGGCGAAAGCCTTTTAATTTTTTCCCATTTTGTTTTTAATTTTTGCTAAAAAAAAAAAACTTGTGATTAAATCTTTGAAATGATAAACGCCAAAATATATTTTCGTGCGTAATGAGTTATTGACAGTATCCTTTTCTGTCATTGTTGCTGAGATTTCGGAACGTTAATATCACAGATGATATTGATATTCTGATGTTATGATATCTTAATTTATTTTCACGAAGAAAATAGCCCTGACTGATGAATTTTATTTTAGAGCCATTCCCGGAGTACGGGATAGTGATTATTGTACTGGGGTCACTATTGGTCATCGTCCTGGTCACCGCCTTCTTCATATACAGGTCAGTAATGAGGTCATATGCTTGCTACTATTAATGCCACAATATTGACAAATTCTTTAAACTGTTACTTTAAGCATATGTTATTGCCAACTCATTTGAGCAAGGAATTGGGATCAAATTTATACAACTTATCACAGCCTTCTCGCGTCATTCATTTACCATTACATGACAACGATGCTGATAGACATAAACATGAATTAGACATACATTATATACACACAGACCAAAATACACAGTGAATAAGTTTTCCCTTTGTCGCCTTTTGATAGGACGCTTGTGTTTGGTTATAATTTGTTAAACGTCCTATTAAAAGCCAAGGCTATTTAAGGACGTGCTTCTACGTGTGTTGTGTATGTGTGCTGGATGATGGTGTATGATGGTATAGTTGCCTCCTTGTGATAGCGCGGATCTGATGCCGACTTTATAGTGCTACCTCACTGAAATACCATGCCGAAGACACCCAGTACAACATTCCGTCCGGTCACATTATACAGACAACGGGTAAACCAGTCATTTCCTTAAATGACCGATTAGCTGTGAATAACAACTACCATTTTAACGACTTAGTATGCCCGGCCTATGGATAGAACATACGACCTTCCTCACCTGGGCGAACGTTCAATTTTAAAGCCAAGAGTGAGATATTACCAAGCAAGGTGTTAGGAAATAAAAGGTAGTTAGAAGTAGAGAGAAATATAAAGATCCCAAATTTTACAATTGGTGCAGCTGATTTATTTCGGTCGCTTTTGTGACCTTTGATTTGTTCACCTTTAAAACAAATTCGTTCTGTCAGCGTTTATACAAAAAATAAGTAATACACTTTCTGGAGGATTAACTACTGTTATGGTACATATGTGCATTGTATTCTATAGCGTTAATCCTATTAGTCTAACATTTGGTACTCCAAAGTTATACGACTGAATTAAATCTCTATCTGTTCTTCCTTTATTTTATCTACCTTTTTTACGTTGGCGTGTCTCTCGATCACTCCTTGGAGAATGGGGTTCCGTAGCGGCCATGTCGCTTGTGCCCCATTCGTTTGCTTTATCTTAGCAATATATTACATTTAACTAAACATCTGATCGTCAGTTGGCAGAATAATATGCTTCAAGGAGGAAAATTGTACACTACTGCTTTCACTTAGGACACATTTTAAAGCCTGCAATGCGGTATGGTGACCTTTGGTATTTCTTTGACGCACAGTATATGATACCTAAAAGAATGGCGTGTTCACATCAAATGTTAGATATTACGACAGATTGTATCCGTCATACTTCATACCAGATTCAACCAGTTTATCAGTCAATGATTAGATGTGAGGATCGAGCACAAACATTTAAGGACTGGCCACAACAAGTACGTCAGACTCCACACCAACTTACCAGTAATGGTTTCTTTTATTCTGGACATAGCGATAAAGTCACCTGTTTCATGTGTGGAGTACAATTAAGCTCCTGGGCATTCTCGGACTATGTTGATATTGAACATAAAAGGTGGTCGAAAGATTGCGTATACTTACAAATGACATTACCAAAATGAACAGACTTGAAGAGAGACTTCATGCTTATATCGAACATGATATTGAGAAAAAGACATACAAGAGGATTGTGAAAAACTTACTATGTCTAACCTATGCATTAAACGTTAAAGACATCATATCAGAACTTTTTGTATGTACAGGATGTCTAGAGGGTCAAGCTTACCAGCAAGGACATGACTGTGTCATGCTTGACAGTGAAGACAGAATAGATAGATATTTTGAAGAAGCCTTTTCAACAGTCAATCATCTAGAAGCGGAGAATCTATGGCGTGATTTTTGTATTCAATCCCACATGTTACAAAACTTGATAGACGATGAGCGATTCCGTTATGGAAACTACGTAAAACAACATTTCAGCAGGAAAATTCGAAAGTTTGTGAAAAAAGTAGACATTGTCCGACTGAAGCTTTTTACCTAACATGGAGAACTCACAGTCTATTATTGAGAAATTGGACTCATTATTTAATTTTGTGTATGCTTTTCACTTATACCAACATTTAATTTTGTGTACGCTTTTCACTTATACCAACATTTAATTTTGTGTATACTTTTCACTTATACCAACATTCATCTAAGACTGATATGTTAAAACTTTTTGTAGGAAGAAATTTATTGATGGAAAATTATCGATAAGATAAGAAACAATTATATTTCAAACGTATCATACCTAAAATGAAGGGAAAGGAAACTGAAAAAACTGTGGTGTAGAAAAAAAGATTAATGAAATGATTCAATCTATGTCTCGTGTATAAAACCATAGCAGTTATCGTTTTTATCCATTTATGTGGAGACTTCTGCGACAACAACTTGAGTATGTATTTATCATTAACATGTTAACTGATGTTTTGCCTTGTGTGCAATAAATTGTAAACGTGATATTCTGTTCAGTCTTGTATACATTATATTGTAAACGTGAACATTTTATCAGTATGATTATTCAAATCCAATTTTATACAAACGAACGCACTTTTTATCATTATTTTATATTTTAACAAAATGTTATTCTTTTTAAAATATTCATACTGACGTAAATGTTCACATTTAATAAATGTATGTTGTAGAAAAATGTTAACGCAGCAAGAAAAACAGAGAGTGGATGACATTTATTATAACTTTAATAACGGTGGAACATTCTTAAGTCCAACAAAAGTACATCAAATACTGAAATCGCAAGGATTTCACTCTCCAGGTTTACATAAAATCAGACGATACATTCAAAGTCTCGACGACTACAGTTTACAAAAAGCCTGTAAAACGTTCATTTACACGCGCACGTGTAGAAGTTGGAGAACCATTTGAACAATATGACACCGATTTATTGGATATGTCATCACTCGCCAAACATAACTCGGGTGTAAAGTACCTGTTAATGGTCATCGATGTGTTCAGCCGCTTTCTCTGGGTCGAACCTATTAAAACAAAAACAGCAAAAGATGTATTAGAAGCCTTCAGGAAAATAGTCGAGAGAGGTAGAATCCCAAAGAAAATTCATTCAGACTTAGGCAAAGAATATAATAACCGCTGGTTCAAACGCTGGTGTCTCGATAATAACATTCATTATTTTACAACAGAAAACGAAATTCACGCCTCCATGGTAGAGCGTGTCAATAGAACATTTAAAACCATGATATTTCGCTACTTTACAAAATATAGAACCTATAAGTACATTGACAAATTACAGAAATTTGTCACCTCGTATAATGCTACACCCCACCGCTCCCTCAATGGAACAGCCCCAAAAGATGTAAATGACAACAATCAAGCAGATCTTTTTGCTTACATGTACTTGGGGAAAAAGAAACTTAAAAGGAAAAAGCAGAAAAGGGTATTTAAAACGAAAAAAACTAATCCATACAGATTCAAGATAGGGAGTTTAGTTCGTATATCACACACGAAACAGCTGTTTAAGCGTGCTTATCAGCAACAATGGTCTTCAGAGATATTCAAGATACACAAAAGAGTTCTAATGCAAGGAATACCACTGTATCAATTGATAGACTTTTTAGGTGATACTATCAAAGGAATTTTTTATCAGTCAGAATTACAACGAGTTGAAAAAGATGAAAAAACTTTATGGTTTATAGAGAAAAAAATACGCAATTCAATTCGAAGGATGGCCCTATAAATATAACCAATGGATTCCTGAGAAAGATATCAAAGACATGACGGAAAGCTAACATGGCACACTACGTAATCATTAACAGTAACAAGAATCTCGACTACTACCCCGACAACAAACCATACCATTTTCGCTGTCAACTAAAATCACCCATTACTCTGAATGGTACATGGAATGTAGCACTCGTAGACATCTGTGTTACGACTGTCAATACAAAGACGAGAGAAAAATTTATACATACATTGCGATCTTGTTGGAGAATCCGTAATCGACGGAGAGAAGCAGAATCTACTTCGAATGGTGAAAGCTCAGAAAGTTGCAAGCTGGAGCCAAACACTTGACACCCCTCAGTACGTTCCTGTAAAGAAATCAGAAATGAGAGATATAGAAATATCTATAAAAGACAGCAACGGTAACTTTGCTTCATTCTTAAAGAAGCCAACAACGATTACACTTCATTTTAAAACCTACCCATTTTATATTAAAAAAGGTATACTTTTGAATAAAAATATGTTATAAAATGTCTGTCATCATACTTTTGTTTCAATTTCTTTAACAAAATACTTTAATTTAACTCATACCTGTTAAAAATTGAACTTGAAAAGACTTCCGTTGGTGTAGATCTTCATAAATACTAAAACAAACTGTCAAATACTATGTTAAAACCTGTTTTCATGACGTTTTCTGATTAAAATGGTTCTACAAATGCTGAGAATTTTAAACTTTTTCACATCTGTTAGAGGTTTTATTTTAAAATAGGTATACTTTTGAATAACATCTCTAATGAAAAGTTGTTTGTCGAGGTACTTTTGTGTCAATTTCGTTAACAAAATACTTGAATTTAGCTCATGCCTGTAAATAATTTAACTTGAAAAGACTTTCGTTGTTGTAAATCGTCATAAATACTAAAACAAACTGTCACACACTGTAAAAACCCGGTTTCCATATCGTTTCTTGATTGAAATTGTTTTACAAATACTGTGTTTTTATTTGATGATTATAAAGTTCCATACACGTTTACTAATATTGTGTTGACCTTTTTTCTTGCAATACAGACAGTACAAGACTGGCAACTTTTCCACTTGACTTATGCAAAGCTATTATTTGAGTTAGATCATTTAAGCATCTTGAAATCAGATAAATGTTGTAGGTTACTTTCTATAAAAAAAATTACTGAACTGGGTCTCTTGAAGTCTATATATTATATGAAATCAAAAAAAGAAATTGTTCCAATCATTTGATTGGACTTGTACGACGAAAATGAGAAATTGTCTCAGACAGGCTGAGAAGGTTTAAGTGTAGACTCTTCTAGAGAACTGATAATGTATCAGTACTGTAGGT